CCATCCTTTGACTTTTAATCTGTTTTTGTTTTTGTGTATAAGGTGTGCCTCTTGCAGGCAACATATTAAGGGTCTTTTTTTCTTATCCATTCTGCCACTTCACTGGTGCATTCAATCCATTGGCATTCAATGTAATTAATGATAAGTATGAATTAATTGCTGCCATTATGTTACTTTTTTGGTAGTGTTGTTCATTATTTGGTTCTGCATGACGTCTTGAGTTTGGTTTGTGGTTTCTGTGCTACTTCTTGTTGGTTTCTTCTTTGTTTTCATGTTTGCTTGTTCTGCTTAAAAGTTCATTTTCATGGTAAGTTGTGAACTATTAACTTTATTTGGTGTTACCTTACAGTCTACTAACTTTTCTCTCCATTTAAGAGAATCTATTGTATCCTGTAATTTACCTGACATCCTCACCACCTGGGTCTCTGTTGCTACATTTGTCCCTTAGTTGAGATTGAAATAATTTTGATCTTGGGTTAACCTCCCTGGTCCTTTGAGATTGTTGTTGTAGTCTTGTTCTTTTCTGGACTCTGCTATCTGTTGACTGAGTACCAAATGGTATTGCCATGGCTGCCAATCTCTGGTTGTTGTATGTTCTTGTTGGTTTTCAGTCCACAGAACTCCCTTTAGGATGTTTTCAAGTGCTGGGTTGGTTTTGATAAAATCTCTCAGATTCTGTGTATCATGGAATGTCTTGATCACACCATCGTATCTGATTGGTAGTTTTGCTGGATAGATGATTCTTGGTTGACAGTTTTTTGTTTGTTTTTTTTTTCTTGTAGGGCTTTATATATGTCTCCTCATTACCTTCTTGCCTGCATGGTTTGCTCTGAATAGTCAGAGCTTAATCTGATTTGCTTGCCTTTATAAGTGACATTTCTCTTCTCCCTGGCTGCTTTTAGTTTTCTCTCCTTGTCTTTGATTTTGGAGAGCTTGATTATTATACATCTTGGAGTCTTTCTTTTGGGGTCTAACCTTCCTGAGGTGCGTTCAGCTTCTTGAATGTTTATCTTCTCATCTCTCAAGATGTCAGGGAAATTTTCTTCCAGAGGCTCTTCAATAATCTCCTCTGTGGACTTCTCTGAGGCTTCCTGTTCTTGAATGCTAATAATTCTTAAGTTGTTCCTCTTCATGTTATCCAGCATTAATGTTAAACTCTCTTCAGATTTTTTTTTATCCCTTTTTATGCTTGCTCTTCTATCTTAGCAGTATTGAGAGATTTGTCTTCCAGCTCACTAGATCTGGCTTCCATTTCTTCTATTCTGCTCGTTTCCCCTTTCAGTGTATTGTCCATTTCTGATATCTTATTATAAATCATCTGGACCTCTTTCTGCAGGTTTTGAATTGTTTCCAATGCTGTATCAATCATATTTGATTGCTCTTGTAGTACTTTCCTGACTTTTTCCGTGTTTTCCAACACCCCATTTCGGAGCATTTAAATTTGTTTCCTTATCATTCTGAATTCTTTCTCAGGCAAATCCAAAACCTGCTCTTCCTCTCCTATAAAGCATTTTCTGTCCCCAGCTCATTTGTCTCAGCTACTTGCTTCTGTTTATGGACATGTTTCAATATTGTTTGTTGTTTTTTGTTCATCATTTCCAATAGTAATGTGGTTTTTTAAAGCTTAAGTGGATGTTTGTTGTTTATTATTAAGCTTACTGGGTGTCCCCTGGTGAATAAGATCAGGAGAAAGGCTTTCCTTTTCTCTTGCAATGCTTACCAGTTGTTGTTGGCTCTTGTCTCAGTGGTGGAATATTATAGAGTATTCTTATAGCTTGGCTATATGGCCACGACTGCTGTCTCAATTCTTGAGTAACATAGGGAGAAAAAGCTCCCATCTCCAGGAAAGATATGTGTGCTCAAAAGGACCAAAAGCAGAAGTAATATAAATGCAGAGACAAAAACCACCACTTTGAAACAGAAATAAAGCTGTGGTTGACTGTCCTGAGCTACACAGGCAGTGTGTGTATAAGGCAGAAGCCTCCAGCAGTGGGTGAGCGTGTCCGCTCACTCAAGCCCTTTTTCTAGTCACTACAGTAGACGTGCGCAGGTAAATACTGAGAAGTTAATGGGAGAAAGATTGTCCATTATTTTTGCCTCTGAAAGTCAGTTAGGTATCTGTGTGTGCACAGTGCAATTCTCGAGATGTTTGAGTCCTTTTATGTTGGGTTTTTACAGATTGCTTTATAAGGGTCCTGCGCAGGGAACTCAGGTAGCACAGTGGCCATGAATGGGGTCGCAGACCGGAAGGTCAGCAGCTTAAAACCACTGGCCGCACAGTGGGAAAAAGGTGAGGCGCTCCACTCCCACAAAGACTCACAGCCCTGGAAACCCTGCACAGGGTCTCCTGGAGTCAAAACCAACTGCACGGCACACAGCCCCTATGGGTCCTGCACAAGAAAATTTTAGAGCTGTGTCTCCATGGCTGACATCATAAGTAACTTCACTATCTTGGCTTTTAAAGAACATTATGGCTGTACTTCTTCCAACACAGATTTGTTTGTTCTTCTAGCAGTTCATGTTTAAATATTGTTTTTTTTCAATACCACATTCAAATACATCATTTCTCCTATAGTCTTCCTTATTCACTGTCCAACTTTGAAATGCATATGAAGCTATTGAGAATACCAAGGCTTGGGTCAGGGGCAACTTAATCCACAAACTGACATCTTTGTTGTTGAACTCTTTAAAGACGGTTTTCTGTAGCAGATTTGCCTAATGCAATAGGTCATTTGATTTCTTGATTGATGCTTCCATAAGTGTCAACAGTTCATTCAAGCAAAATAAAGTCTTTGACTTCAGTGTTTTCTCTGTCTATCATGATGTTATTCATTAATTCAGCAGTAAGGATTTTTGTCTTCTTTGCAATGAGGTGCAACCCGTACTGAAGACTTTGGTCCTTTTCATTTTCAGCAAGCAAGGTTGTATCATATCCATATAGCAGCTTCTTAATAAATCTTCCTCTAATCTTGAGACCATGTTTTCTTCATATAGCTCAGATTCTCAGATTATGTGCTCATCATACAGCTTTAATAAATACAGTAAAATAATACATCCCTGGTGCACAACTTTCTGGATTTTAAACCTTTCAGTTTCTCCTTGTTCTGGTCGAATGAATGCCTCTTAGTCTATGTACAGCTTCCTCGTGAACAAAATCAGGTGTTCTGGAATACTTATTCTCTGCAATGTTGTCCATAGGTTGTCATGATCCACACAGTCAAAATATTTGAATAATCAATTTGCTAATGCTGGGGTGAGATGTTATCATGTTGTTGTTCTGATTTCCATCTCTAATAACTAAAGATCATGAACTATCTTCATTTGTTTGTTGGCTGTCTGAATGTCTTCTTGGTAAAGTATCTGTTTATGTTCTCTGCCCCATTTTTAATTGGCTTGTTTATCTTTTTTTTTGTAGCAATATTGTTGTTAGGTACCATCAACACATATGCATGACAGAAGGAAACACTGCCCATTCCTGTGCCAACCTCAAAATCCTTGCTTCACTTGAGTCTATTGCTACTGTCACTATAGCAACCATCTCATTGGGGTCTTTTTTTTTTTTTTTGCTGACCATGCAGGTGCTGTAGTTTTCTACAAATTTTCAAGATTAGTCCCCTTTCTGATATATCATTGCAAAAAAACAAAACCTTCTGTGTGCTCTCTTTTTATTCTTGGTGAAATCTTTTGATGAACTTAATTGTTTAATATTTAGGAGGTCCCAGTCATTACTTTGTCTTTTACTATTTGTATATTTTTTTTGTTATGTTTGACAGTGCATTTATGCCATGTATTAAAACCCCTAAGTTTGTCCCCATTTTTTCGTTAATCATCTTTATAGTTCTAGATTTTACACTTAGGAATATGACCTATCTATATGAAAATGCTATTTAGTACCTCATTGAAGACAAGAGTATTGCAAGAGTTAATGGAATAGAGGTAAATACTGTTATATGCACAATCCTAAAACAACAGTGATCTATGGGTACAAACACAGACTGAAAGGGTGTTGGAGAATATCCACAAATATATAAAGGGTTGACAGAGGGTATTTGTACATGAGCTTTTACCTTTCCTGCAAAAATATCTATGAATGTGGTGAAGCAAGCCAGGGTCAAAATTATTAAAACTTCCTACACATTACCAAACACCTTGGGTGAATGAGTTGGTGGGCCTGGGGACTCAGGATCACAGTTTCAGGGGACACCATGGTCAACTGGCATAACATTGTCCATAAAGACAGTGTTCTACATCCTACTTCAGTGAGTAGTGATTGGAATCTTAAAAGCTCAGGAGTGGCTATCCAAGGTGCAACAAGGAAAGAAGAATGCAGAAGAAAGAAGAGTGATGAAAACTGAAGATACTTGGAATCAGTTAGTACAACGGACTAGTGAAATACAAGAACACCAGGCTCCATGCCTCTGAGACTAGAAGAACCTGGTGATTCTCAGCTACCACTAGCTACTATTCTGAAAGGGATCATATTGAAAATGCCTATTACATTCTGCCTTGTATTTATTATCTGTATAACCTTTAAAATTTTTTTCTCCCAACCACCTATTTCTAGATCGAAAAGTCTTTGAGAAACAAAATTATACAGTATACCAACTCAAGTTCCTCATCAAATATAAACTCAATACAAAAAAATAAGAGGTATCATTATCATAATTACTATAAGACATATCCTTTTCAGTGTTTTATACATAGGTCAGAAAAGAGGTTATATACAATAAAGAGCCAGTCCATTCCAATTGCTTGCCTTGCTATAAATGCATATGCTATATCAATTATAGTACAGGAATTACTGACATACTTTTAATCCACCAAGGACAAGGTTATTGTCTTTCTACAGTTTTTTATCACGTATTAGAGAAGCCCAAAATAATTAAAGTCATTTAACAGGAGCTGCCTTAGCTTTACAGTATAAATGGCAAGTAGAATAACATTGGATAAATTATTGTAATATTTCTATATGCAGAAAAGTGCTAAGTAAAATAACTTACCTTGTAACTGAGGTATCCAAGTAGTATTGTTTCAAACAGACTTATCAATGCCACTGAAACCTAAAATATAAAGTGCAACATAATGAGAAAATGCAATCAAATTAAAATATAAACTCATGCTTATAATCTTGTTGTGTATACATTTTATTAAATGACATATGGCACATCAAATTCTATAAATACGAAACTAGTCAAAGTTTGCCAAACTCTGTACAATAACTAAGTTTGAGATAGTGTCTAATCCTCTAAATAAATATCTTTTAGCTATACTTCCAAATGCAAAGGTGGGATAGAATAGTCAGACTAGCTGGAATTTGCAATAATATAGGTAATACTAATAAGAATAGTTTTTTGTGTGTATTCCAAAAACACACAAATATCCCACTAAAAATAACTGCCCTTTTCCTGTAATAGCACCACCTCCTCCAGTATATCCACAAAAACAATCATTCCATGCAAAAAAAAAAATAATAATTGCAAGCTTATCATAATATGATTAATCCTACCACATAGCTCAAACAACATGAAACAGTAACATACGAAAGACAATAGTCCAAATCAGCAATTCAAAATAATTTCATATTCTCTTTGAAAAACTTCATAACTGATCTCCCTTTAGCAGCTGGAAGTGTTAGCTAGTTTTATGTCATTCTTGACAATTTTCCATCTTTCTCCAATGTAAATATAATTTCTACAAATTAATTATCTAAAAGTTATTGTGGCAACAAAAAATAACTGAAAAAGATATACAAAATATCTACTATTAAGTCTCTTACCCTCTCAGGATAGATGAACAGAATCAAATAAGTAAATAGAGAACTCACACAATAACAATTTTTTATTTAGTTTTATACATTTTTGAGGCTTAAAACAAACATTGATGACACAGGCAATTAACCTGGAGGTTTAAATTTAATCTTCTGCATGGATAAAAACCATGAATTTAAATGGATGTTAACATATAAAAATAATATCAAATAGATATCAAATATCAAATGCACGGCAACATAAGTAAAATAGACTCAGAAGTACACAAGAAAGCCAGAAATGACAGAAAACTCAGGCCTCTTGGATTCTTTTCCACATGGTCTCTCAATAATAATTGGCTATGTTTTTTCTGGTGGCTCACAGTTCTAGATGGTTCCTAGACTACCCTATTAATAAATGTTTTACTCATTTCATTAAGTATTTTTGCAGAAATTACTAATAATGTTATCTGGAAATGAATGTCATTACTTTAAAATACCACCATTAAAATAATTCTAATAAACCAAAATACATTCAAGTCCATAGATTACTACTCATAAATATTTTGACTTACTTTAAATGTGTATCTTGCTTAATTAAGGGTAATTAAGAGTCTAGCTCAGACACTATATTTTTAATGAAAACTTAGTTTAATAGGATCATTTGAAGCTCTTTCATATTTTTAAATCAATGTGACTTTGAAACAAAAGTATACATAATACAATTTCAAAAAATATGAAAAATTTTAAACATTTAAAAAATCCAGACATAATAAAAATTTGATTCAACAGTTATGATCATAGTACCTATATACCTGAAAAATATCAGATATGAAATATAAAGACTACATAGTTATCATAACTTTAAAAGACAAATCAAACATATAAACATGTCTGACTTAAAAGTTGTCAAAAGGGTGTTTCATAAGCAATATGTCTGAATCGTTCCACTTTCTACAAATTCCACTGTCTTCTGACTTCTTAATTTTTGTTTTTGGTAGTGACTCTATTCTTTCAATTAATCTCTACTCTTTTAAAAGAGCAAAAAACAAAAAGTATATGTAGCAGAGAGACAGGAGTAGAGAAGAAAGGAAATTTTAAGTGTTTTTGCTAGGCCTGGTCGCTAATAGAAAAATAAACAAAAAAGAGGTTCAGGAGACACTAGAGAAAATGTTAACAGCATAATGCACAGACTTCTCCCTCGTATTTTTTTACTCCCTTCTTGAGGAATTCTCCTATGCCAGGATATTCTTTTTGTTTTTATATACAAAATCTATTTTCATAGGCAATCAGCTCCTATTGGTGGCATTGCCATTCACTCAATTGTTTATTGATTAACAATAGTACTTTGTTGTTGTTGTTAATAGCCCTTGAGTTTCTGAAGAGCAGCTGATGGGTTTGAATCACCAATCTTGAGGAATAAATCTTGCAGTCCAGTGCTTTATCCTACAGTGCCACAACAGAACTTTAAATTCTAACAAGATCCATCTTGGGGATATAAGGTGAAAATGCAAATATTGTAATGGGTTATTTCTTTTCATTTTTGTATGTGAATATTTTATTGTGTTTAATGTGAACGTTTATATGACAAATTAGATTCCAGTTCAATAATTCATACACAGATTGTTCTGTCATATTGGCTACGATCCCTATATATATTGTTGTTAAGTACTGTAAAGTCAGTTCTGACTCATATTGACCCTGCACAAGGTTTTTCCGAGGCTGTAAATCTTTATGGGAGTAGAATGCCTCATCTTTCTCCCATGGAACCTCTGGTAGTTTTGAACTGCTGACCTTGAGGTTGGCAGCCCAACTCGTAACCACTATGCAACCAGAGTTCCTTCTATGTATGATATATAAGCACTCACTCTTTCTGCCTTGCCTGCCTCATTTCCATCAATCCAGTTTCCCTGCCCCTCCTTGCCTTCTCATCTTTGCTTTTGGGCAAATATTGACTCCATGATCTCCTATAGTTGATTGTTTAAAGGCACACATTACTCTCAAATATTGGTGTTTAATTTTTAAACCAATATATTATTTGGCTAAAAGGAAACATCAGGAAATGACTTCACTTCCAAATTAAAAATATTTAGGAAAATAATCTTGGGAATTCCTTAAGTTTCTGAGTCAGGGTATGATCTGAGTGGGCAATAAGTCCTATAAACTAATTTCTACCTTAAGTTTCTGGTTTCCTTTACTCCTTTGCGCCACATGGGATGAGACTAATAGTTGTATCTTAAATTGTCACTTGCAGATTTTCAAATCCCCACAAGCAACTCTCCAAACTAGGAAGTAAACCATTATCTTAATGAACTAAGTCATGCCAATTAACCTGGTTTGCCAAAAGAAAGTTTGAGCTTTCAACACCAATAACTCAATCCCACAGGTACTTGAATGTCTAAATATTACCTTTGCTGTGCCCCTATGTGATTTATTATACACATAAATATAAATGTGGCACATACAAACATATATAATGAATACCCGGTACCTACAAATATGCCAACATATACATATGCAAGCACTTCTAGCATATGTCTTCTCAAATCTATATAGCATACTATATGTAATCAATCACATGCTTTTTTCTTACTATTGTTGTTGCAAGATTTTATATGTTATAGCATTTGCTGTTGTTCTTTGTTCTTGTATACCTCTCATTTACCTTGAGCATGTTGTGCTGACTTCCCCTATGTTATGTATTGTCTTTCACACCACTAGAATGATCACATTTTTACTATCTAGTAAGTGATTCCCTCTCCATTTATTTACTTCTCATATGTATACCTATTTTTGATTTTCTATAAAAATGGTATCATACATTAGTTGACCTTTGGTTTTTTTTTTGCTCATTTCATTGTGCATAACGTCCTTCAGACCCATCCAATGATATAAAGTGTTTCATAGACTAATCATTATTCTTTATAGACGTGAAGTATTCCATCATATGCATATACCACAATTTCTATATCCATTCATTGGTTGATGGGCACTTAGGCTGTTTCCATCTTTTTGTTATTGTGAATAATGGTACAATGAATATGGGTGTGCATGTATCTATCCCTGTCACTTCTTTATATCTCTAGAATACATACACAGAGGTGGGATTGCTAAATTATAAGGTATTTCTATTTCTAGTTTTATTGAGGCACACCCATAACATTTTCTATAATGATTGTACAATTTTACAATCCTACCAGCTGTGTATAAGAGTTCCTATCTCGCCACAACCTCACCAACATTTTCTTAAATCTGTTTTTCTTTTGCTTTGTTTTAATCAGTAACATTTTGCAAGAGTAAGATGATATCTGATAGTAGTTTTGATTTGCATCTCTCTAGTGAGTCCTGGTTTGGCACTGTAGGATAAGCACTGGACTGCTTACCACAAGGTCAGTGGTTCAAACCCACGAGCTGCTCCTTGGAAACTCTATACAGGGTCACTATGAGTTATAACCAACTTGATGGCACTTAACAACAACAATGACTAATGAGGAGCTCTAGTGTTGCACTTTAGAATAAGCACTAGATTGATAATCACAAGGCAGACAGTTGAAATCTACCAACTATTCCTTGGAAACACTATACAGGGTGGCTATTAGCTGGAACTGACTCAAAGGAACTTAACAACAATGGTGAATGATAGCAAACATCTCCTCATGTGTCTCTTAGACCTGAATGTCCTCTTTGGTAAAGCGTTACCTAATTTTGATTGGATTGTCTTTTTGTTGTTAATCTGTTGAAGTATTCTGTATATTTTAGAGATTAGACTCCTGTCAGATACATTGTAACCAAAATTTTTCCCCAGTATACAGGGTCTCTTTTTCTTCTTTTGGTAGTCTTTTTATGAGCATATGAATTTAATTTTTACTTGTTGTTGTTGCCAGGTGCCATCGAGTCGCAACCGACTCATAGTGACCCCATGCACAGCAGAACAAAACAATGTCTAATCCTGGGCCAACCTCACTACCGCTGCCACACTTGACACCATCAATGATGCCACCTGGCTGATCCATCTCATTGGGGGTCTTCCTCTCTTTCTCTGACCCTCCATTTTACCCAGCATGACATCCTTCTCTAGCGACTGTTCCCTTCTGACAATATGTCCAAAGTATGAGAGACGAAATTTAGCCATCTTGGCCTCCAAGGAGCACTCTGGCTGCACGTCTACCAAAACAGATCCATTGGTTCTTTTGGCAGTCCATGGCACTTTTAGTACTCTCCTTCAAAACCACAAATCAAAGGCATCAGTTCTTCTGCGATCTTCCTTATTTACTGTCCAGCTTTTGCAATTTTTAGCAGGTCTCAGTTATCTTG